CCTGACCCAGCCCCAGCCGTTTTGGCCCTTTGGGGAGTGAACCAGTAGATATAAGATTCTCTCGCTCTTGCTCTCACTCTCTCCTTTACTATATTTCTGCCTTTCAAATAAATGAATAAATCTTTCAAAAAAAAAATAATGATACTTATAATAAGAATTTAAACCAATAACTGACAAAGGAAGTCCAGGTCCAGATGCCTTGCCCATCCTAGGAACTCCATCCTAGAAAAGCACTGCTTTCCTAGGCACACTGACAGGGAGCTGAATCTGAATTGGAGCAGCCAGGATCAAACCAGCGCCCACGTGGGATGCCGGTACCGCAGATAGCTTAACCCACTACGCCATGGCACCGGCCCTTATCTTTGTTTTCTAGATGAAGAAACTGAGATTGAGAGAATTCAATTATACGTGGCACAGCTGGAGTTTGAATCCAGATTACTTTTTGTCAATTAATAGGATGATGACAATAGTTGGCACTGATTGGTTTTGTGTGTCTTACTGTGCAAGGTGCTATAACACAGTAGCCTCCGTCACCATCCTGTAGCTAACTGTAACATTTAATGTTCCCTTGAGCTTGTATGCATTGTATCCATTTTCAGATAGAGAATCTGACACAGAGGTTGCCCTAGTGCACCATGGCCAGGAAGTAAGTGCTACAGCTGCGCCTCTCACTCATGAGACTCCGACTGGCAGTTGCTAGTCTCTATTGTGTGCTTGGGAGGCCGAGACATTGTCTGTGGCAAAAGCAGCTGTGCCACATGTGCACAGCTGAACCCAGATCTTGGTCGACCTTGGCTGTGAATGGGTGCACACTGTCCCTCAAGCTCCACTTCACCGTGCCTGACTTAGTGTAGCACTGTGGAAACAGTTTTCTCACTCTGCTCTGTAGCTAACCTTCTACTGTGTGAGTCTAGCAAAAGAATCTCCTTCATTCAATAGTAGTCAGGATAAAAATGAGTAGTCATTATGCATAATACAACACTGATTCTTAAGGTATCGTATATGTTTATTTTTATTTGAGGAGAGAGAGCAAGTACACTCCTGTTACGGGACTATGAAGGCGATCTTGGCTCTTGTCTTACTTTGTAAAAGAATTTCCACAGAGACAGGGAGAGTGAGCACAGCAAGATTTATTTAAGTGATAAACCTCCTGCCACAGCAGTCAGGAGGGAGTGCCCCAAGGGAGCTGAGTCTTTTATACTTGAAAGGGGCTCCCTTGATTTAGCCAATCAGGGGAGAAGCGGAGTAACAGCTAATGATCATTCAGAGGCCTGGGATAGCAACCAATAAGAGGCAAAGACAAAAATCCATCAGAGGATTGGAACTGTAGTCCTGCCTAGCTTGCTTCTGTTAAACTGAAAACCCATCAGAGGGGTGGGAATTGGTAACCTTGTCTAGCCTAACCTCATGATAAAAAGAAAATAAATGTTGCTACTTGCAGCCTATGGGAGGAAGCAAGTGTATTGTCCATTCTTAAAGGGGTTCTGGCCCTTTTCTCATTCCAACGGGGACCTGACCTAACAGCCCTGCTAACTCCTTACACTCCCATTTGCTGGTTCATTCCCCAAATGCTGACAGGAAAGGAGAGCAGGGGGTGGGGCTAAAGCTAGGAGCAGGGAACCCAATCGAGGTCTCCCACATGGATGTTGAAGACCCCTAACTACTTATGCCATCACTGTCGCCTCCCGGGATCTGCCTTAGCAGGAAGCTGGAATCAGGAGCTGGAACTGAAAGTCAAACCCAGGTACTCCAGTGTGGGAAATCCGTGTCCTGATTGGCATCTGAAGTGCTAGGCCAGCCCCCCACCCTTAAGGTATTTCAGTATGTAAGTCAGCCTGCAGATTTGTATAAAAAAGAGAATCAAAGCACTTTACCTATTTATATTAGTCTTTATATTATAATGAAGTTGGTGTCAAGCTTATTTGAGTGCTGGAGAAAAGTGTCTCTATTTTTCAAGTTAAAGGCTTTTTTCAAATGTCCATTCACCTTTAAAAATGAGGTTGTTAAGGCTGACCTGATGCCTTCCTGGGTGGAGGAGCTGGTGGAGGGCAATGAGGTTTAATTTTCTACAGGGGAGCATCCTGGTATCTTGGGAGCAAGGAGGAACAAGGGGCAGGAGATGGTGAGGTGGACCTGCTCACACCTCTGCTCGCTTGTGATGCTTTGGGGTTTATACCTGCTTTTATTCCTTTACTGTTATTTTATTAGTGTTTCAGGAAGGTGTGGCCATAAGTGCCATTTATTTCTATTTTTGTAAATTATGTCTTCATGTCCTTTACCTAATTTTATATTGTATGAATTTGTGAGAACTTTTTATACATGAAGGATGTTACCTTTTAGATGTGAGTTTTCCTTTTTCTTCTATGTCCGCTCACTTTTGAAACACGTGCAGGTGGGTGCAGGTGGGGGTTCCCGCTTCTGCCATTGTGGTTGTGTAAGGAAGGGACTCCTGATGCGAGCTGGCTGTTCCTTGGCTTTTGGTGTGCTTTCTTTTGGTTTTTCACTATTTCATGGAAGTCCTGCTTGAAAAGGATACATGCTGTTTCACAAAAGAAGGGCCATGACCAAGTGGACTTGTGTCATTTGCCATCTCCCCTACCAGATGCTGGAATGTATGGACCTAGCTCTCAGCTGGAAAGGTCTGGCAACAGCTGGGCTAAGGAGCACAGACTTCCGGCGGCCTGCCAAGAGTCTGTTGCCTCAGCCCAGCTCAATGCCCTTGCTTGGAGAGAGGCCACTTTTGCACATGTCTTGGAAGGGTGGTGGAAGGAAGCCTGGCAAGGAGAAGTTCTCTCTGCACGTAGCAGTGGGCCCAGGTATAAGGTTGCCACAAAACACACCCGACACCCGGGTAAGGGAAGGGTTTATTGGGGAAAACCCAGCAGGCTGGAGGGAAAGGCTGAGGAAGGAAGGAAGAGAGAGGAGAGTGTAAGAGAGAGAGACAGAGATGGAGGTCAAGAGGCAGAGAGGAAGGAAGAGAGAGAAGAGAGGAGCGAGGAGACGAGAGCGAGAGGAGAGAGGAACCGAGAGAGCAGAGAGTGAGCAAGAGAGGAGAGGGGAGAGAAGCCGAGAGAGCCACGTGTTCAGGAACAGGCCCTTTTAAAACTTTGCTGGAGGGCGGGCAGGGAAGCAGAAGCCCCAATCCCATTAGGATGGGGGTGGAGCTTGACAACCACGGTTGGGCCGTGTGGCCACCTGGCTTCCAGCAGTGGCGGCGGGGGCTGGAGCCTAGGATGGTGTCAGGGTGTAGATGGCGCCATTTTCCTAACACTAGGGCCATGAGGCAGGGAATTGGAGGAAAGGAATGAGCAACAGCTCACCATGTGTCCCATCTGGCAGGAGTGGCCAGGGGTTAGCCCTCCTCTCTACACGGTGATCTGGTTTTCAGTCTGCATTGTCGAAGTCTGACCATGTCCCGTTCCCACTTGGGTTTTATGCCAGCTTCTTCTATGCTAACCAATAGGAACAGAATGTCCTGCAGTAGGGTGCAGCCTAAGAAATCGGAATCAGAGAGCGGTGATCCTAAAGCACCAAGCTTTCAGTGCCCTTGTCTATGGGACAACCTGGAGGAATCTGCAGTCTGAAATGACCCATGAGGAAGTCTGGGGACCCAGCTCTGTGCTACATCCCCTCCCCCTCGATCTTCTGGTTTCCTCAGGAAGTACCTATGGTGAATGATCCTCCGGAAGTACCTATGGTGAATGATTAACTCCAACCTGAAAGCTCATCCTGGGGTCATTTCCCCTCCGGTAGAGCCCTGAAGTTTTCCGCTTATGTCCAGCTGCTACTGCTGTGTCGTTCTGGGCCTTTCTCAGGCCTGCTTAACGGCCACAGCTTTCTAGCCCAGTGCCTGATTTCTTCCTGATTTGTCCAGCATGCTGCTGCCAGACACACTGTCATACTAAACATCACTTTCTTTGATCACATTGCTTCCCATTTAAATCCTGGCTTCCCTTTCCAAGACGTGGCTGTGCATTCATCCAGCTGCTTTCTGCTTGCCTTTTCTGTTTCTCACCATGTATCACCTAGCGCTAGGCAGTTTGTTGCGGAGTTTCTCCAGTTGTTATGCCTGTGTTGGAGATTGGAAGGCTCTTGAAGACAAGGGTGGTTGGTTGTGTCTCTTGAATTCCTTACCGTACGTTGTAGGATTTGCAAAAACACTCTGGTGTGTAGGCACAGTTCTTAGCAGAGTGCCGATATCTGGGGGAAATGTTGAAAAACTGAAAAATTACCTTGGCAGGCTGAGGAAAAAGCAGCAGAATCATTTGTTTTTGGGCTTTCTTCAGCTTTGCATCTACTAGCTTCAGAGTTTTCTCGTCTGTCATGGGGCAAGGTTGGAGTGGGTTATCTCTCAATTCCCACTCAACCCTGCAAAGGCTCATTCTCCTTCGCTCTTCACCGTTAGTGTTCCTCTTGAAGTTAAACTTGATGAGCCATTGCTGGATCTCGTATTATGAATCTTTTCATTTCTCTGTACCGCTTTCCCTAATGCACTTTGCAGGGTTCTCGGGGTATCTGCTAATGAAGGAAATTTGGATTTGTGATTTGGCTACATTTTAGGGGAGCGGACAGAAGGCCAGGCCATTCTGTTTTTCCTCCTTGGAACTTTTCATTTGTAAAAGTGAGTCTTGGGGCTGGTGCTGTGGTGTAGCGGGTAAAGCCATCTGCAGTGCCGGCATCCCATATGGGTGCTGGTTTGAGTCCCAGCTGCTCCGCTTCCAATCCAGCTCTCTGCTCTGGCCTAGGAAAGCAGTAGAAGGTGGCCCAAGTCCTTGGGTCCCTGCACCTGCGTTGGAGACCTGGGAGAAGCTCCTGGCTCTTGGCTCCTGGCTTTGGATCAGCTCAGCTCTGGCCGTTGCAGTCATTTGGGGAGTGAACCAGTGGAATGGAATCAATCAATCTCTCTCTCTTTTTCAAATAAATAAAATAATTCTTTAAAAAAAAAAAGTGAGCCTTTCCGTTTGGTGTGTAATTCTAACGTATTTCTTGTTCTTCCGCAGACACGATGAGGCGGGTGGTACGACAGAGCAAGTTTCGGCACGTGTTTGGACAAGCGGTGAAAAATGACCAGTGCTATGATGACATCCGGGTGTCTCGAGTGACCTGGGATAGTTCCTTTTGTGCTGTCAATCCCAGATTTGTTGCCATAATCGTAGAAGCAAGTGGGGGAGGAGCCTTCCTTGTGCTCCCTTTGCACAAGGTAAGTAGTTTGAGCTTCGTTCTCTTAGACACCCTCTGACGGTTTCTTATTTTGTCCTTAATAGACTGACAGTTCTCTAGGATTGTGTGTTTGCTGAGACCCTGATGTAACTGAGGTGAAGTTCCACACGCCTTACTCACCACATCAGTTTCTCTGACAGAGAATCATTAAACAGAGTGGCGACCTCTGCTCTGGCTGTGCCCTCTGTGGTTGAGAAAGATTATTCTGATGCTGTGAACTGGGACAGGCTTAGGAATTTTATGATTTGGTTTGTAGTCATCTACTTCTCATGAAAGTTTTCCTTTATTGGAATATAATTCTAAAAACAGTTATGTTTGTACTCCAAATTAAAGTGTTAAAAACAGATATGTTTTTAAATGGGTAGAAATTTGTAAGATAATGTTCCCATTTTTATCAAGTCATCAGGACCCAAACTTCTTGGTTTTTTGAATAAACCAACATATATTTAAATTCTGGACAGCACTGAGTTTTAAAAAAGTGGTGAATGTAAAGGCTCTTTACTGAGAGTAACTAACTCTCTGTGTCCTTCAACTTGACTGGATTTCTGAGTCCTCTTTATTTGATCCTGCTGGAGAGTCCTCCAAGGTGGGAGATAAGATAGGAATTTTGTGCATTTGCTGACCATTCAGATCCAAATCTATCCCTGCTTACTCAGCAAGTCCCAGAATTGCAAATGATGAAGGAAAAAGCAAGGCACCTAAGAGTTGTCTTCTGGTTGGCTTTTAGGAGAGGATCAGCCTGTGAGTCCTGAGCTCAGGCCAGGGCCCAGGGCTGGGAGGAAGCAGGTATTGAACCACTGGACAACTGTTTCCACTGTGCTGGAAACAGGGAAGTGGGAGCCCACTGTGTCAGCCATGCCTGTTAGGGAGCTACTCTTCATTGTAGGACATGGGATTCTGAATGTGGTCACAATGAAGTGATTTTCTGTCAAAGTATTGTTTCCCATTGTATTTTTTTTTTTTTTTAAGATTTATTTGTTTATTTGAAAGTCAGAGTTACACAGAGAGAGGAGAGGCAGAGAGAGAGAGAGAGAGGTCTTCCATCGGATGGTTCACTCCCCAATTGGTCGCAACGGCTGGAGCTATGCTGATCCGAAGCCAGGAGCCAGGAGCTTCTTCCAGGTCTCCCACACGGGGGCAGGGCCCAAGCGCTTGGGCCGTCTTCCACTGCTTTCCCAGGCCACAGAGAGAGCTGGATCATAATTGGAGCAGTGGGAATTCAAACCAGCTCTCCAGTATGGGATGCCTGTGAGGCAAGTGGCAGCTTAAGTTGCTGTGCCACAATACCAGCCCCCAACTTGCTTTATTTTAATGTCTGATTTTTATTTTAGTCCCTGGGTTAATGTGCTGTTACACAGAATAGATTTGACATGTGTTGTCAAATGTGTCGTCGTCTTGGCAAAATTATCTTTCTCATTCAATGAAAATTTTATTTTCTACTGAGATGCTTTTATTTCTGTGATGAAAGTTGCTGCTTGGCCGGTGCCGCGGCTCACTAGGCTAATCCTCCGCCTGCGGCGCCGGCACACCAGGTTCTAGTCCCGGTCGGGGCGCCGGATTCTGTCCCGGTTGCCCCTCTTCCAGGCCAGCTCTCTGCTGTGGCCAGGGAGTGCAGTGGAGGATGGCCCAGGTCCTTGGGCCCTGCACCCCATGGGAGACCAGGAGACGTACCTGGCTCCTGGCTTTGGATCAGCACAGCGCCAGCCATAACAGCCATTTGGGGGGTGAACCAACGGAAAGAAGACCTTTCTCTCTGTCTCGCTCTCTCACTGTCTAACTCTGCCTGTCAAAAAAAAAAAAAAAAGAAAGTTGCAGCTAATAATTGTATCTGATCCCAGAGTGGAGGTTTGGGCTTACTGCGGGCTGCATTTGGTTTCCATGGTGTTTAGTTTATTCCTTCACTCAGAGCGAGGAGCCTGCAGAGACTTGGCTGTGTACTGGTGTTTTTGTGTTAGCCTGCTGCACATACACCACAGCCTGTCAGCCCAGGCCAGGCACTGGAATGCCACATTCTGTTTTGGAGTTGAGTTCTCATTTCCCCTTTTATAGACTAAGAGCATTTTTTTTTTCTTCAAAGAAATGGAACAAACCTATTAAGAGACCCAAATAAACTTTTGAGTGGCTAATCTTCCCGTGAGTTCAGCTAGTGCTCTTCAGTTTTCATGTCCACAAAAGGCTGAGTCCATCTTTGCTCTGCAAACCACGGGAAACTCTGGATTTCCCTCGTACCATTTAAGGGAGACTGTATGCAATCCTACGATAACCGAGCCTTGGATCTGGTTTTCACTTGGATGAGATGGCCTATACTTAACAGATACTAAAATAGTATTTTGTTCTTTAACCAGCTTTACAGACGCTGGGATAGAATAACTTGCTATGCAAAGTATTGTGTGTGGATGAAGCGTTGCTTGCCGTAGGAACGTTCACAGTCTGTCTTTCCCAGGCTGTAATGCTGGTTGTGTGGCTTCGCTCCTTAAAAATTAATTTGTTTTGGAGGAGATGATACATGTGTAAACTAAGCCCTGGGCCAACCATTGGAAATAAGGTCAATAGTTGGTTATTGGCCTGTATCATGCATTTGTTCACATGTGCTGGTATGTGTGTTTAGCCTGTGGTGTCAGTGTGGCATGGAGGGGAAGCATGGGCCTGGGAACTGAGCGTTCAGTCCTCTCAGTCACTGGCTTTGCGTGGGACACGCGTGTGTCACTCTATCCTGCTCTTCGTTTCTCTGTATATACTTGTATATAAAAATGATTTTCTGTGTGGTAATTCTAGATGGACTTAGAAGTGCTTTTCATCTCCTCATAGCTCTCAGTTATACAGTGATTTTTTTGGGACACGATGGCAATTTATTAACAGAAAAGATAATCTGGGGAGTCCTGTTCACAGGCAGTGACCACAGCAAGCCCCCTTCCTATGGGTGCTGTCGGAGGGGATGGGGCGACATCTTCAAGTCACCTGACTTTCATACCTGAGCGGGCCCCAGGTCCAGGGGTCTTGGTCCTGTTTCCTCCTTGGCCTGGAGCTTGGTGTTAGGGCAGTGACGCCCAGCTCCTTGCACCTCTGGGCGGTGTCCTGGATAGCCAACATGGCAGCATACGATGAGGACTCCTCTCAGTCAGCCTTCATCTTCAGCCCACCAATCACCCAGCAGATGGTTCTCTGACCAAAAAGATCAGCAGGGGTGTCGCTGAAGGACGTGCGGGTGTGGCAGACACCAGTGACAGTCTCTCCTTCAGCCTCCTGAGGCCCAAGACTGATGGCTTGCTCTTCCTTCTTTTGCTTCCCCTTGCGAGGGCCATTTCTGCACATCTTCACTGGATTCTGCTACCAGAAATAACTATAAAGTGATTTCTCATGCAATTGATTTGGTGCCCAAAATTCAGCGAAGTGAATACTGCTGTTCCTTTGGTCTCCCTTCTTGGTCCAGTAGAACAGTGGATGCTTTTTCATTGGTGGCTGCTTTTCCCTCAAGGCCAAGGCTGAGCCCAGCCACCTTCTCAGTGGCTTCTTAAGTCCTTACCGAAGATGCGGGCTGGTAACTGATGACAGCCAACAGTGCCGCCTTCCTCCAGGTTGTCAGGTGGCCTGCACTTCTGTCTGCTCTCTGTGGTCGCTGAACCTCTTAGTACCTCCTGGAAATTTTGGTGTAATCATGACTGTTTGAATGAAGATGGTAAGTTCTGCATTTTTACAGATGGTATTTGTCTAGTCTTCCTTGCTCTTTGTTCCCAGTGGTTAGTTAGTGTGACCCTCTGTAAGCTGAGTGCCCCTGAGGGCCGGCATCTCTGGATCCAGCTGCATCCAGCTTTTGTTGTGGTGGTTCCCTCATCTCCCCCAGAAGCCTCTTGCCGGATTGCTGGCACTCAGGTGTTTGGCCTCTCTGCAGACGTGTGGCCTTGACAGAGAAATGTGATGAGGACCCCAAGAACATGCTGTGCCCATTGATCCTGATACAGTGTGCTTTGCCCTGAAAAAGAGAGTCTCACAACTTTAGTTTCTTAACAACTGCAAGACAGCTTTACAATGATGCATTGCTTTGGTTTAGAAGCAGGGAAAATCCAGATTCTCAAATGTAATAGGCAGTTACGCCTGAGATAGCAACAGGTTATGTGCTACATGTGTGGGTTTTTTTTTTTTTAAAGATTTATTTATTTTACTTGAGAGTCAGAGTTACATAGAGAGAAGAGAGACAGAGACAGAGAGAGAGAGAGAGAGAGAGAGAGAGGCGCAGGCCTTCCATCTGATGGTTCACTCCTCAATTGGCTGCAACAGCCGGAGCTGCACTGATCCGAAGCCAGGAGCCAGGAGCTTCCTCCAGGTCTCCCGCGTGGGTGCAGGGTCCCAAGGACTTGGGACATCTTCTCCTGCTTTCCCAGGACATAGCAGAGAGCTGGATCGGAAGAGGAGCAGCCGGGACTAGAACCGGCGCCCATATGGGATGCCGGCGCTTCAGGCCAGGGCGTTAACCCGCTGCACCACAGCGCCGGCCCCTAGATGTGTTTTTTGTTTCTGGCTATATAGACAAGCAGGTTGGTTTCTGGTGATGCTTTTGGGGCTCTCTGTACATGATAGTATTGACTATGCACATTCGGAGATCCTTCAGGAAGATTCCATTTAAATGCATGGCTCTCCGTGAATTTCTCTTAAGCTTGTCAGTATCAGCAGTAAATAGGGCCTATTATAGCTCATTACTCATGAGGCTTGTGGCTAGAATCTGGGAGAATGTAAAATAAGTTAGACATAGTTTCTGTCTTCCAGGACTTAAATCTACAATGGGAAGAGTAACGGGGACAAATACATGAAAACATACAACTGTGCATGCTCATGGGTAAGCACTGGTGCATGCACACTGCAGATGAATGCACGCTTGTTGTAAGTACGGGTGGGTAGAGAAAGTGGAATTCCAAGAGGTCACTGCTGGAGGAAGTACCCAGGTGGGGTGAAGGAGCTTAGCACGCATGATTCCTGATCTCTTTT